ATGGAATAAAGACAGTCTCTTCAGGAAGTGGTGCTGGGAAAACTGCACAGCGACATGTAGAAAAATGAACCTGAACCACTTTCTTATACTATACACAAAAATGAACTCAAAAGGGATGAAAGATCTAAACGTAAGATAGAAAGCCATCAAAATCCTAGAGGAGAAAGCAGGCAACAACCACTTTGACCTTGGGCACAGAAACTTCTTACTCAACAGGTCTCCAGAGGCAAGGGAAACAAAAGCAAAAATGAAGTACTGGGACCTCATCAAGATAAAAATCTTCTGGACAGTGAAGGAAACAATCAGTAAAACTAAAAGGCAACCGATGAAATGGAAGAAGATATTTGCAAATAATATATCAGATAAAGGGTTAGTATCCAAAATCTATAAATCACTTATCAAACTCAACACTCCAAAAAACAAATAATACAGTGAAAAAATGGGAAGAAGACATGAATAGACACTTTTCCAAAGAAGACATCTAGATGGCTAACAGACACGTAAGAAGATGCTCAACATCACTCATCATCAAAGAAATACAAATCAAACCACAATGAGATATCACGTCACACCAGTCAGAATGGCTAAAATTAACAACTCAGGCAATGACAGATGTTGGCAAGGATGCAGAGAAAGAGAAACTCTTTTGCACTGCCAGTGGGAATACAAATTGGTACATTCACTCTGGAAAACAGTATGGAGGTTCCTCAAAATATTAAAAACAGAACTATCCTACAACCCAGCAATTGCACTACTAAGTATTTATCCAAAGGATACAGGTGTGCTGTTTTGAAGGGATACATTCACCTCAATGTTTATAGCAGCACTATTGACAATAGCCAAAGTATGGAAAGAGCCCGAAGTCCATAGACAGATAAATGGATAAAGAAGATGTGGTATGTGTGTGTATACACACACACACACACACACACACACACACACGTATATTTCATTCTTTTTGATCGCCAATACTCCAGTGTGTGTGTGTGTATATAAATATATATATATATGTGTATACATACATTGTGTATATAATATATATATATAATATATACACACACACACACTGGAGTATTGGCGATCAAAAAGAATGAAATTTTGCCATTTGCAACAACATGGATGGAACTAGAGTGGTTTATACTAAATGGAATTAGTAAGAGAAAGACAAATATATGACTTCATTCATACATGGAATTTAAGATACAAAACAGATGAACATAAGGGAAGGGAAGCAAAAATAATATAAAAACAGGGAGGGGGACAAAACATAAAAGACTCTTAAATGTAGAGAACAAACTGAGGGTCGTTGGAGGGGTTGTGGGTGGGTGGATGGGTTAAATGGGCAAGGGGCATTAAGGAGGACACTTGTTGGGATGAGCACTAGGTGTTATATGTAGGGGATGAATCACTGGATTCTACTCCTGAAATCATTATTGCACTATATGCTAACTAACTTGGATGTAAATTTTATAAATAAATAAATAAATAAATAAGATCATACCAAAAAAAAAAAGGGTCTCTCTCCCTCTGCCTCTCTCCCCCACTTGCATGTACACACTGTCTTTCTCTTAAAGAAAAAAAAGAATTAAAATGAAGAAGGGGAGAGCTTTAAAAGAATATGAGACATAAGTATCTCTGCCTTGGATAGATGATGTAGTGTAAATAAAGCCAAATTTTTTAACTTCTAGATTGAGTTCCATAACTTCATCAAGAAGAATGATCTTCTTCATGAAAAAGAAAACAACCTTAGTGAAAAGAGATTAAAAGTCCAAGATGGAGAAAAAGATGGGAAAGGGCCAGCCATCAGGACCCCAGGGCCCTAAGGGAACTCAGAAACGGGCTCAGGAAATCTCTCAGGTGATCTCTGAAAAATCAAAGAGAACAGGAAAAAGGCCAGAATGTTAGAGATTAGCAAACAGCATCCTGACTTTCCAAAGAAGGGAAACTTAAATTCTGTTCACCACAAGACTGGACAGCTTACAATCAGCCTCTGCAAGGGGCTAAGCCACATCCTAACCTGAAGAGATCTCACAGCACACAGGGAAGGAAGCACCGAGACAAGGTCAAAAACTCAGGAGAAGAATGGGCAGAGGAGAGGCAGAGGCAGTTCACTGAAGGGGGAATACCAGTAGCCAATAAGCAGAAAAGATCCCTATCATCGTGGAGACATCCACTAAAATAACCAGATACTATTTAACTACACAGAAACTCAGCAAAATATTTTAAATCTTGGTAACATCAACTACTAGTAGGGGCGCCTGGGTGGCTCAGTCGGTTAAGTGTCCGACTTCGGCTCAGGTCAGGATCTCAAGGGTCATGGGTTCAAGCCCTGCATGAGACTCTGTGCTGACAGCTCAAAACCTGGAGCCTGCTTCAAATTCTGTGCCTCCCTCTCTCTCTGACCTTCCCCTGCTCACACACTCTCTCTCCCTCAGAAATAAATAAAACATTAAAAATATATATCAACTACTGGCAAAGATGTGGGTAGTGGACGAAACAGCTTTCTTTTAAGAGCATCTTGGTATATCAATTAAAATTTAAAATACATTGGGGGCGCCCGGGTGGCTTAGTCGGTGAAGCGTCCGACTTTCGCTCAGGTCATGATCTCGCGGTTCGTGGGTTCGAGCCCCGCGTCAGGCTCTGTGCTGACTGCCAGCTCGGAGCCTGGAGCCTGTTTCAGAGTCTGTCACTCCCTCTCTCTCTGACCCTCCCCTGCTCATGCTGTCTCTCTCTCTCCTAGAAATAAAAAAAAAAAAAAAAAAAATTTAAAATACATTGTATTTTGACCTAGCAATCTGAAAGACTCACACATGCAGATGCTTGTAGAAGGTTTTTCATTATAGGCCTATTTATAATAGTAAAAGGAAAAATAAACCACCTAAGGTTTGAAGTGTTATGGTTTTATAAAATACCATATACAACAGTCCAAAATAATGTTGATCCATATATACTGATAAAGATTCTCAAGATGTTACCATTCATGCTTTAAAAAAACACAGAAGAAACTTATATATATTTCTATAGGTGCATATATATATATAAATGAACTTAAGTTAAAAAGGATTCCCATTAACCTGACAAGAGAGATTACCCTAGGAAGGTGATAAAGGATATTTTGGACTTTACTTTTTTTCATTTTTTATAACAAAAGTCTTCATTTATTTTATAATTTTATACACACACACACACACACACACACACACACACACACTTGTGTTTTTTTAAGGATGAAAGACAAAGACTAAGAAACAGTGAGCATTAGAGACCAGCATGTGCACTAGGAATAAGATGTGCCAAAGAAATAACAATGTTGGGGCACCTGGGGTGGCTCAGTCACTTAAGTGTCCAGTTAAGTGTTCGACTCTTGGTTTTGGCTCAGGTCATGATCTCACGGTTCTTGAGTCTGAGCCCCACATTGGGCTTCACACTGACAGTACAGAGCCTGCTTGGGCTTCTCTCTCTCCCTCTCTCTCTGCTCCTCCCCTGCTTGCTCACTCTTTCTCTCTCTTTCAAATAAAACTTAAGAAAAAAAACTAAGAAGAAATACCGATGTCACTCTCAACAGAGTGCCACAGGCTAATGGCAGAGGCTTTCACATCATCATCATGGACACAATAGACAAATGCAGGCTGCATGACAATGCCACGAAGAGAGTCAGATTTGTCAGAACCCTTGCAGTTACTGATTCAGGGTCTACATAGGAACTTCCAGGATAGTCATTTAGCCTGTCCTATCTAACATATTCATTCACTATTTCACTCATTCAACAGACATTTAACAGCTTACTCTGTGTCAAGTGTGCAGAAGAAGATACAGACAATCCCTCCCTGAAATCTAGGATACTGAGAAGTAGACAGAAGGTGGGGGGGTGGGGGGGAACAGTGTGGGAAATGCTTGACTGAGGTATTACGGAAGTTTCAAAGGTAGGCCCAGGATGGGGTCCTATAATGTGAAGGAGTTCACATTATACCAGGTTTGCTTCAAGAAAGCACGAAGCTAAAATGTACCACTAATACCAAAAGTTACATACACAGGAGTTGGAAAAGGTTGGCAAACTATAACACACCATGTGAAATCCATTTACAGTCACTAAAAAAAAATCACATGTTTAGGTTACTGGAGAATAACCTTTTGTTTTGAGGCCTCACTGAAAGTCAAAGAGGCCTCTGAACAGAGCAAGGTTTTCAGAGAGTGGACAATGGGGGGTGCGTGGGTGGCTCAGTTGGTTACGTGTCTAACTTTGGCTCAGGTCATGATTATGCGGTTCTTGAGTTCGAGCCCTGCATCAGGCTCTCTGCTGTCAGCATGGAGCCCGCTTCAGATCCTCTGTCTCCCTTTTTCGGCCCTTCCCCCGCTCATGCTCTCTCTCTCAAAATTAAATAAATGTTTAAAAAAAGAAAAACAGGCCCATGTCAGATGAGGACTTGCTAAAAAGGCACATCCTTACTTTTCCAGGGCCACCCTACCCTCTCTGAGCCCCTAAATCCACTCACAGTCCTCCTGTGCTTTCTCTCAGGGAATAACCCACAGACAACAGACTCAATAATTTCAAGATCCCTAATTGTACCCTTGGTTTGTCCACTTGAGGGAAGTGGCGGCTGGCCTCAGCAACATGGTGGGCACTCTTTGGCACATTTTCTCCCTCTTTCCCAATCTGTTGCCCCAAGGCTGTCCGTCCCACCACACATCAGAGAAGGAAAAATAAGAAACACACACACACCAGGTTCCAAGGCTCCTATCTCAGGCAGCCACTTCACCCTCCCAGGCCTTGGCATGCATGTCTCTGCCAACAAAGAGAGGACCAGATAACTTCTGGGGGACCTTACCATGCATGCATTATCTTTCCGAGAGAATTCACTGTTAAACAGGACTTGAGAGAAAGGGCAGGGCTTACTATGAGTGAATGAACAGTAGAATTTGGGGGCACCCAAGAGTTCTTATCTGGGTCCCCACCCTAGTGAGAGAAGTGCTCTGGACAAGGACCCTCCATTGGGACTGACCTCTTTAGTGACGATCGAGACAGCACCTGTGCGGCCTGGTTCATGGCCCGGACCCAAGCGTTCATGTCCTCCTGGGTGTCGGCACTGAAGTAGTAGGTCCTCATGCCTGACTGCTCGCCCTGAGAACCCCCAGTGGAGCTATTGTAGATGAGTGCTCGCATCCCTGTGTGCACAGCCTGTAAACATGAGGCAGAAACCCAGGTCAGAGAGGTCAGCACACATTTCACTTCTGGGAGCAAAAACAAGAAGACACTCTGACCATGTTCTCCTCTCATCCAGAAATAAAAGCGCAAGTACCACCCAGCTTATTCCCACACCTGGAAAACATCACAGCTGGAATCCCCTTTCCTGGTGAAGTTAGACCCAGTGATGGCTGTGTCTGGTCTCCACGGTCAAAGCCCTGCAGCTGCACCTGTTCCTACTTATCTTCCTCCTGCTTAGGGAGGGGCATGCAGTCAAGGCTAATGTGAAAAAGTTTTTCAAAACCCACGTTTTGTACAAGCAGACTCTCTGGAATCCCTGTTTTGGTTCTTCTGAGGCATGCGATTACTGGAATTGAGCCAAAAATCAGCAATAACAGCAAGCAGCTTGGTGCAAATATTCACTGTGCCTTACCACTTATCACTGCGCCAATATTATCTGGCATACCACTTGTATGACATGTGATGTGCACCTATCAATGCTGCTACTCTTCTATCTCTCCAAAGAGCCACAAAGTATGACAGAGCTAACATATGACTAAAAATCCTTGCACACCCACTATGTGCTAGGAAGCCTCAAGGTGCTTTCAAATGTATCCTTACAAAGACCCTGTGAAGAGGTACCAGAAATGACCACTGAAAAGCAACCAGGTTGGGTGCAAACAAGAGGAAACACCAGCTGTGTTCTGATAAGTACAAGCCTGTCTTAAAGTTGTAATGAAAACCCTTGCCAAATCTACATAAGAAGATGGTATAAAGAGGAAGACCAAAAAAAAAAAAAAAAAAGGAGGCAGATCAGCAAATCTTATTAGTGTCTGTTCCAGGACTTTAATCTCATTCCAATCCCAACAGCCCTCAGAGGTAGGGACAGAATCTCTATTTTATAAATGTGGCAGATAAAGTCTGAGATGTTAAATAACTTTCCCAGGTTTCCACGCCCAGTAATGGATTCCTCACAGCAATTAATATTATCTGGCACTATTTATTTTCTATACTAGTTTGCTTATCATCTGTCTCTTCCCTCCAGAATATAAACTCCATGACAGCAAGGACTTTGTCTATTTTGTTCACTATGGTATCCCCAGAAATAGTGCCTGGCACATAGTAGGTATTCAATAAATGTTTGTGGAATAAATAAAGAGTTGGAACCAGGACTTATACAAAGGTCTATCTGATTCCAAGCCCAAGCTTCTCTATACAATGCTCCCAGGTCTTGCCCAGATATTAGTATGATTACACAGATCAATGGTCTGATAATGTGGATCCAGAATGAAAGGCAGACTCCATGAAAGGATGAGTCAGAGAAATCAAAATGAAAGAACCAATTAGGGGCTGAAAAATGACATGCTTCTAGAATCACTAATGGTCACAAATGAAAAGTCTCTGATGAACTGTCAACATTTGCTTCTGTGACCCACCCTAACATCTAGGTCCAAAATGCTTATTAATTATGGGTCTGCTGATATGGACATACTTGAATCTATCCAGCTAGTTCCAAGAGAATACAAACAAACTTAGCCTGCAGCTAAGGGTCCCTACAGGGACCAAAGCAAACCTGATTTCCTTCCTTGCATGTATAAAGGGTTATCCACTGTCCCAGAAAGGATTCCTCCTGTTTTAGCAAGATGGACACATGACAGTGAAAACAGAATGAGAAGGAACTTGTTGTGTCTTGCTGTGAATCAGCAGAAATTCTTGGAAAAGGTCCCCTGCATAAGGACCCCAATAGATCTCTGATACCTCCTCCCAGACTTTGTGCCCACTCACAGAGGATTCTGGGACAGGCACCAATCCCACCAAACACAAGGCCACCCACAAGTAGAGGGAGCCCTCAAGAGTATGATAGAGAGAGGTTCCTGCCATACTAATGTTTGTGGAGCCAGCCTTGTCTAGGAAATCAACACAGGACACCCTTCGAACATGGGGACTTAGCAGGTCTGCCTGCAAATGGACCTTGGGAGTTAGATCCAGCATCACAGAGGAGCTAACATCACAAACAACCTCAGTCACTAATCAAACTGCCAATATGTGCTGTGTCCAGCTGCCCTTGGTTCTGAAGAGCAGGTTCTTAACTATATTCTGCCTGTGATTGGGCATAAAAGATGTATTTACTGTGAATGTGAGAAATGCAGGGAGTTGGCCACGTGACCCAAGTCCAAAGTGCCCTGAGCCAGAGAAAGATGCCAGAGCCAAGATAATGAGAAGTCTCCTCACCCCTTCCCTAGTCTCATCTCAAGAGGTGCTCCCTTCCCCTCTGCTCTTCACTTTCCAAATAACAGTCCTATTAGGCAACTTTGCATGACCTAATGGAAAACTTCAGGCTATAGCTGAAGGAAATGGAGATGTCTGCAAGGAAGATTTTACCTCAAAAACTTAATGCCCCTAGGATAGGACTGTTCTCCAGGCCTTTAGGACCTTGGTCTTGACCTAGCACTAGAGATAAAAGCTAGCATGCTCACACCCCAAGCATCAGCCTTTAGAACACAGAGGCCTACGTGAAGAAATGTAGGAGCATTCCAAAGGCCAGGGCCCATCAACTGACCAAATCATTCTCTAACTTATTCATACAACAATCTAGCATTGATTGTTTATGTGAAAGGCACTGTAACAGAAATTGAAGCAACAGCCTTAATCAAGGTCAAGATACTTGACAGTTACGTAAGAAGAGAAAGCCTATGGACAAATAATTACAATTGTTGTCAGCATTATCAAGAAGTTCAGGATGCTATGAGAGAGGATATCAGGGGCACCTGGCCTGACCTGGAGAAGGACTTACCTACAGACGTGACATTTAAGCTGTCTTCTACATAGTAAGCAGATATGTTAGTAGGAGTAGCACAGAGGGATGTGTCAGACCCCAAGACAGACAATATGATACATTCAAGGATGAGGCCAGCAGGCCTGGCACAGACAAAAGGAGAGAGCAGGATGAAATGAGGCTACTGGAGCTGGCAGGGCCAGGTCACCGGGGCCTTGTGGTCACATTAGGGTTTTGTCTCATTTACAAGAACAAGGAGAAGCAATTAAAGAGTTGGAGCTGGCAAGATCAGATTTTTGTCCAGAGAAACCACTCTGTCTGCAGTATGAAGAGGTCAGAGTCAAGCTGGGGCAGATGAGAGGAGACGAGCAGGACACCCTATAGGAGTACAGGTGAGAGAGGGTGGGGGGTGGGGACTGAGAAGGAGAGAAGCACTCAGTGTCTGCACAAAACCAGCAGGTAATATCAGCCTGACCTGGTGATGGAATAGACAGGAGAGCTGAGAACGGCAACTGTAAAGGACAAGACTGTCAGGTTTATGCCTTACGCAGACCGGTGACCATTTGTTGACATTAACAGGGAACTCCTCATGCCCAACCTTCGGGTTGACTATGAGCAGCACAGTGAACTGGGTAAGAACGTAGGCCCTGGAGCTAGCCTGACGTGCATGGTGGGCCTGCCTTCATACCCTAGAGCAACGTTGGGCAAGCTGCTCAACCTCTCCAGGCCTCTGTTTCCTCATCTTTAAAATGGGTGGGTGGTGATGGTACTTACCTTTTAAGGCTGTGTAAGCACTAAGTGAGATAATGCACACAGGGAACTTACAGCATAGCCTACCACTTTTAAGGCTCAAAAGATGTTAGCTGATGTTATTATAGGACCAATCACTTAAGTAATTTAAGGGGGCTTACTGAATGAACTTTCTAGAGACTCTGAAAGACCCTTCTCTGCCCTCTCCCCATTGCTAATATACAAAGGACTAGCGGCACCTGGGTGGCTCAATTGGTTAAGGTATCACTCTTGATTTTGGCTCAGGTTATGATCTCAGGGTCATGGGATCAAGCCTCACTAAGCGTGGAGCCTGCTTAAGATTCTCTCGATTCTCTCCCTTCTCTCTCTCTCTCTCTCTTCTCTCTCTCTCCCTTCTTTCTCCCTTCTCTCTCCCTTCCTCCCTCTTCCTCCCTCCCCCCACCTCTCTCTCTCTCCCCCTGCCCCTTTCCAGGGTTTTGATCTCTTTCCCCCTCTCACACTCTCAAAAAAAAAAAAAAAAAAAAAAAGTACAGAGGACTAAACATGAACTACAAGTAAGCCTGAACCCATAACTTGGAAAGTATAATCAGTGTAACTAACCACAACTACTACTAAAAATGACTGCTCTATGCAGTCTCTGTTTACAGAATGGGACTAGCCCCATCTACCCAGGCAGAACTAGATGATGCATTAGTTTTCCTAGTAAAAGCTCCAGACGGGCAAATCAACCACTTAAGATCTGTGGATGTACAGAAGAAGTGCACCGAACCTTCCCAGAGGGCTCATGGAAGGCTTTCTGGAGGAGGTCACCCCCAATCAGAGACTTGATGGACTAGTAAGAGTTGGGGAAAGGGCATTCTGAGCTGTGGCTGAAGTTCAGGCAAAGGCCTGTGGGCATGAAATATCCTGGGGCCCCAGGCAACTGTACATGGCCAGAGGGAAAGCCTAACATGGGAGTGGCTAAAAATGGAACTGGAGAGGTAAGCTCGGGCTGCTAAACCAAGACTGGGCTTTATCCTGCAGACAAGGGGGAGCCACTCAAGGGTTTATGGTGGGAGCATAGCCTGAACAGATGTGCAAGTCAGGAACAGTGGGGAGGACTGATTGGAGGCTGCAGTGTCTGAGGGCTGAAGCAGCGGTAGCCAATACCTACAGAGCAATTACCATGTGCTAGGCACTATTCTGGCAGTAAGTTAGTTACCTATGGGAAGGATGATGGCAACCAAGACAGAATAGACAGAGCAGTGGAAAGGAATAGATGGAGGACAGAACTGAAATGGGAGAGGAAAAAGGCATCTCTTCTCTGTTCTCTTCTTATCCCCTAATAATCTCCATGCAGATTCTAGAATATAAGCTCCATGAAGGCAAGGACTTTGTCCTTCTCATTGTTAACACCCCAGTATCTATATCCTACCAAGTAGAACAATGAAGCACAGTGAAAGTTTGCTGAATATAAATAAGTTAAAAACCACATGTCTTGGCTGGCCTTTAGCCAGAATCTAAAGCAGGGATCTTAATCTTCTGGGGGGCATGAACCCTTTGGACAGTTTCATAAATCCTAAGAACTCTTCTCAGAATGTTTCTAAGTATGCAAATAAAATAAAGGAAATATGCTATACTGAAATACAGTTACCAAAACTTTCTTAAATGTGGGATAGTGATACAGGTACTTCTTTAATAACTCATTATATAAGAAATATAGTAATAATTATTGTCATTTCAATGTGACAATGAGCATAACGCTATTTCAAGATATTTACAATGGTAGTAATGTGATATGAAGATCTCTCTGGTTACTATGGTGACCAAGGCACAGGTGCTATGGATACTTGTTGTTGCCTGCTTTCTTTTCTTTTTTTTAATTTTTTCTTTAATGTTTATTTTTGAGAGAGACAGAGAGAGAGAGACAGAGAGAGAGAGGAGGGAAGGAGGGAGGGAGGGAGGGGCAGAGAAAGAGGGAGACACAGAATCCAAAGCAGGCTCCAGGCTCTGAGCTGTTAGCAGAGACCGACATGGAGCTCGAACTCACAAACCATGAGATCACGACCTGAGTTGAAGTCAGATGTTTAACCGACTGAGACACTCAAGCACCCCAGCTTGCTTTCTTAATCAAAGAAAACATTATAGGTTAAAAAAAAAGAAAGATGTAATTTATCTATTGACCTTTGGAGTCTATAGAGCTCAGGTCAGGAAACCTTGGTCTGAGAAAGGAAGAATGGCTCAAAGGGGAGCAATAAAGGCTTTTTTCCCCATTACAGATCCTTGGACCCTTGGCTGCATGGGGATTTTTTTTGCTCTAGATCCTGGATCCAAGGGGCAAGCTTGCTCAGAAGTGATCAGCAGGCCAAGGGTGGCTGTACATCCAATAGGAACTGTTTGGGAAGGCGCCCCAGGTGAGCCAACAGGGCATAAAAGGCCCATGTCCATTTAGCACCAGCCTTCCTGGTAACAGAGAGGGCTGCCAGGCTGCCCTGAAAAAGAAAGGCAAGGAAAGGACCATATAACCTTTCAGGGTGTGCCTATCTACCATTGCAAATACTCTCAACAATCTCAAGCAAGATGCCCTAGCAACAGTCAGAGAATTTCAGACCTGGAAAGAATTGGTATCAGAGGCAGGTGTAAGGCCCAGGGCACAAAACACTATGCATTCCTCAGTATACCCAATAACACGGATCTTGTACTGTCCAAGGGGCCCACTTTCTGGCCCCTAAAAGAACAATGCTTCAACCCAAGGGAAAGGGAACTCTTTCATACTCAGGAAGCCACAGCCCTCTGTGGAGAACCAGCTGAACACCACCAGACTTGTCTGGAGTAGCTTTTCTCTGTTCTCAGACCCTGAGGATTCCCCCCTCCTCAACACATGCATGCCTTCTATCTCTCAGACAAAAGATTTAGGGAATACTCTTGGTGAAGCCTTTCTAACAACATTTTTTTTTTCAAAAAGAAAAGAATCTATGACACATTAAAGATGTTCTTCTAAATCTGTTTTCACACCTCCCAGTGAAGTGTTAAGATGAAATATATATAGTTACAATCAGTTACGTCTTGACCATATTTCAAACGCTGTCCCAAAAAATTACATACGTTATCCCCACTGTTGGCCCAATAGCAAAAACACTGAACTCTAGAAAGGAAGGTTTTCTGAGAAAAACTTTTAGGCTGCACAGGACCACTGAACAATGTTTTCACAGCCAGCCATCAGCAGGAGAGGCTTCTGAACTATTAAACAGAAGAGTATTCCTAAAATGACAACAATGAGTATTAGTTCAAATCACTTTCCACCTCCTGCAATGTGTGTGCAGGAGGTGACCAAAATAAGACATGGAAGAAAAGCAGAGAGAAAGAGAAAGAAACTGTCATCCCTCTCTTTATAATGCAATTGAAAGAGCACAGAGTTCATGTTCAAGTTCTGTCACCATCATCCCCCAGCTTTGTGACTTTGAGCAAGTATCTTAAGCACTCTAATCCTCATGTTCCTAATCTATAAAATGAAGCTAATAATACTGGCCTCACCCATTGACTCTCCACAACATTAAATGAGCTTACATGGATAGAAGTACTTCTCCAGTCATAAAAGGTTTTACAAATATAAGGTAATACTACATCATACAACAGGAGACAGGGAAAAATCCCAGAATCTTCAACCCACAGCAACTCTTGAGTCATCAGGATAGTGACAGTCAAGGAAAACAGAAGGACAGCGCAAACCTGGCAATGAACAAAGCTAAAACATCAGCCCAGAAAAGAAATGTAAAAGATGAGACAAATTTTCCAACCATCACCCCCACAATGGACTCCAGGTCAAGGCACCAATACAGACTATCACCTTCTAGTGATACCATGATACCACATATCAATGCTTTCTTTAACCCTTACAGATAGTGCATGTGTTATCTTGTGCTTTTCCACAATCTTTCAACTATCTATGGCTGGCAAACTTGACTTCTATTCAACCTCTGCTTTAGTACCCATGTAGCTAGGCTATATGAGTAGTGGGGGCAGGAGCCCCTACCCTTCTTAAAAGGCTCGTCATTGCCTTGCATCCTGAGCAATGTGAGAGGGCATTCCCCATGGCTACTAGCACCAAAGGCTGCTGCTTCAGTGTTGAGACTTCCACTCAGCTGTCAGTAGAACTTCAACTCCTCCCCCAAATCCTCCATTCCTGGAGGACCCAAGAAACAGCAGCATTGAAGGAATGTGCGGAGGTTGACAAAGGAGATGGTCTCGGGATTTCCCAAATTTGGACCTGACTGCCACCTACCTGGAGCTTCCACACCTGGCTCTGAAGATGCTAGAGGGCATAAAGGACTGCCATCAATTAACATGGCCACACTCTCTCCACATGGCATGGTGACAAAGTAGAAAAGGGGTTCTATTGAAGGAGTTTCCCTTGAGAATCTTCAGTGATCCAGAAATAATCCAAATTTGATTCTACTCACTTTTCAATAAGATAAAGAAAGTGGACAAACTTGAAAATTCTTCAACATGAGCTGCTAACCCAGTGTAAGTTTTCATAATATAATTGATATAAATCCATTATGAGGGACCACCACTTGCACTAAGTGGCTGGATACTAGTTAGACTGGCTGATTACAGTCAAAAGAAAGCCTAAGGAGGAATCCATATTAATCATAGGACTAGTAGTGAGAGGAAAAGAGGGGTCTGCATACCTGAGCAAAGGTGGAGGACTCAAGCTCAGATACAAATGAAAGCACTTGTGATTTTATTGTTTAAAGAACTTATAACTTTGTTAACATGCATCTGAAATGTTCTAGCTTCTTCTCCTTTCTCTCCACAAAAAACAACTGCTTTTATGAAGCCATTTTTGGGAACACAAAGTTTCTGAGGGTGCAATTGCTGCACTAGATGGGAGGGGGCAGTACCTTAAAGGAATACTTGCGGCTTATGCGGTCCTCAGGGGCCACAGGTGAGATCACATAGCTGGGCAGAGGGATGCTCCCAAGGACAGCTTCTTCTCGGCTGTCTTTGAATGGAAAAAACACATCAGAATAACCTTCTGTGGCACCTTCTCTGGGCTGGTCCATCCCACTGCCCCAGTTCAGGGCCCCAAATGTCTTCCCAGGACTACTTCAATCACTGACTGTCCACTCAGGTGCTCTCTGGAGACCTCTGCGCTAATGCTGGAATCACACAGGTGAATCAGACAGGGGCAGAGGCAGGCATGTAAACATGCTCACACCACCTGCTAATTCCTGAAATACAGCAGTTTACAAAGTGCTGTGGGAACACAAAGGCTGAAGAGGCACACAGTCTGGGGAAGTGGAGAAGGCTTCAGAAGGTGATATTTAAAGTGTTTTTAAAGGATGGGGAAGGGCATTCTGGGAGGAGCAAACCTCACAGGCAAAGTTAGATAGAGCATGTGCGAAATACCCTACCTTCTACATCTATTTTCTTCCTCCTCCAAAGCATCTTCATTATAGAGGTAACTTCCTAATGACAGAGTTAGTCCTGTCGTTCTCTTACTCAAAGGCTCTGGCTGACTGCTCACTGGATGCAAAATGAAACCCAATTTCCTCTGCCTGGTGTCACAGCCCTCTTGCATTTTGACCCTTACCCAACAACCTGAGCCTTCTTTCCTAGTATGTCTAGGGCCTCACAAGTCTGTCATTCCACTTTCTTCTGCTTCTAGAACTTTATTCAAGTTGTCTCCTCTGCTTGAAATGTCCATCTCCCCCCTACACAGAGGCAAAGCTCTACGATCTTTACAAGCCCAACTCAAATCCCATCTATTCTAAAAAGCCTCCCTAAATTCTCCAGTATGGAATTTCTTGCTCCCCCTGAATTGATTAAGTACACTGAACGTCTTCTAAAGCACCTAACACAGACTAGTCTGTCTTAAAACTTTCTCTTCTCTATGTTTCAAGCCTTACTTCTTTCTCACTATTGTACAGCCCCTAACTCTATGTGCTGGGGCTCCATAAATGTTTATGTGGTCAACTCAACTCACCAACTGTCTATCCAATATTGTAGGGGATAGATCCAGACAGCAAGTTACAACATACAATGATGTATCTCTATTTCCCACCTCTCCAGATTGTATCAAAGGTATACCTATGTCTTAAAACGGGTAGAAGCTAAGACAATTCCAGACATGAAGATCCTAAGTAGCAGACAAACTGGATTCTATTTATTTTAACTCAACAAATGGCACTTCCAGTGCAGTACTGGTATAAAATAAAGTGACCGACCACCCACATATGTAAAACTGAACACCTGACAAGTAAATAGGTTATAAATTAGCTCAGGCCACTAGTCCAGTCACTGGATTTGAGAACATAACCACCTGTATCACCTCACCACAGCCTCCTGCACAAAGAGCCTTTGGTGGCCTGAGCCGCAGCTCACCTTTATAGTAAAACAAGCAATAATCAGCAAGCACAAACCACCTCCTTTTCCAGAGCCTCATCCCAGAACTGTCCTGAAAAGCAAAGAAAACTAGTCAGACAATATGTGAACACACTGTTCCCCCTTCCCAATCATGCATGACATGATGCTGGAACAAAGACTTACCCATATCCACTCTTTCATCCAATAAATTAATGAATTAATGAAATTTTATTGCATGGCCTTTTTTTTATAGGACATGAAAATTTAGATTTAGTGATAGTTTATCCCAAGGAAGCTTTATGTGTGTCATGGAAACAGATTAATGTAAGTATCCTTCTTTTAGAAAGGAAGATATAGATTCAGAAACACAATTCTTCCATTAAGAAATCAGCTTTTGTGACACTGAGATATCACCTCACACAAGTCAGAGTGGCTAAAATGAGCAAATCAGAGAACTCTAGATGCTGGCGAGGATGTGGAGACACGGGCACCCACCAAAAAGTTGGTGGGAATGTAAACTGGTACAGCCCCTCTGGAAAACAGTGTGGAGGTTCCTCAAAAAATTAACAATAGAACTCCCCTATGACCCAGCAATAGCACTGCTAGGAGTTTACCCAAGGGATACAGAAATGCTGATGCATAGGAGCACATGTACCCCAATGTTCATAGCAGCACTCTCAACAACAGCCAAAACATGGAAAAGAGCCTACGTGTCCATCAACAGACGAATGGATCAAGAAGATGTGGTTTATCTATACGATGGAATACTACATGGCAATGAGAAAGAATGAAATCTGGCAATGTGTAGCAACATGGATGGACCTTGAGGGTGTTATGCTGAGCGAAATAAGTCAGGCAGAGAAGGACAAATATCATATGTTTGCATGTATAGGAGGATTAGGAGGAACTTTAACGGAGGACCACGTGGGAGAAGAAGGGGAGAAATGGTAGGGGAGAGGGAGAGAGGCAAACCATGAGAGACTCTTGAATGCTGACAAAAACGAGGACTGATGGATGTGGGGGTGGGAAGGGGGGATGGGCATGGAGAGGGGCACTTGTGGGGATGAGCACTGGGTGTTATATGGAAACCAACTTGACAATAAACTATCTGTAAAAAAAAAAATCAGCTTTTGGGGTGCCTGAGTAGCTCAGTCTGTTAAGCGTCCAACTTCAGCTCAGGTCATGATCTCACCAATTGTGAGTTTGAGCCCCGTGTCAGACTCTGTGCTGACAACTCAGAGCCTGGAGCCTGCTGCAGATTCTGCATCTCCTCTCTCTGTCCCTCTCCCACTTGTGCTCTGTCTCTGTCTCTCTTTTTCAAAAGTAAATAAACATTTAAAAAAATAAAAATAATTAAGAAACAAAAGAAATCAGCTTTTAACGAAAAGGATGGTATTTATTTACTTGGGTGCTTGGGTATTGATGAGGAAATTTATTTACATGGTATGGAACAAGGAACTTAAGTTAGCTAATTAATCACTGAGGCAAAGTTCTCATATGACTAAGTTCAGTTCTTGATCATAAGGGGCTGATTTTGCCATGAATTTGCCTTCCATTCAGTGTAAAAAGACCTGGACTATCTTGCTATCTAATTGTCTTATACCATGAATCTATCTTTACTCATCTGAAATCTAAATCAAGGGGCGCCTGGGTGGCTCAGTTGGTTAAGCATCCGACTCTTGGTTTCGGGTAAGGTCATGATCTCATAGTTCATGGGTTCATGTTCCATATCAGGCTCTGCGCTGACAGCGCACAGATTATCTTCAGATTCTGTCTCCCTCTCTGCCCCTCTCGCACACACACACTCTTGTGCTCTCTCTCTAAACTTTAAAATAAAATAAAATAAAACAAAAACCAATACATTCACTAAAAACGTTTTAGGTGAATGTGAAAATTCTAAAGAACTAGGCCAGGGCAGGAAAGTAGTAGTGTTGCAGGGTCCATTTTCTCCAAAATTTAGGAAACTTCCAGAGCTGCTTTTAGCTGTTAAAACTGTTTTCCTTCTGCGAAAGTTTTCAACAAGTTTACATTTAAAAAAAAACAACAACAAAGTTATGACAGTTTCTAAACCTAAGCACAAGATGAAGTTTGTTCATTGTCTACTTACTCAAGTGCTAAAAACAAATTAACTTGTTGAATTCATACATTTCTTGGTTTTATCTTCTGCATTAACCATACTACCTCTAAGATCTTGCTTTATTTGGAAAACTCCTCTCCATCCTTCTACATCTAGTATAAATGTCACCTCCTCTGGGAAACCTTTCAGGACTCCCCCAAAGACAGCTACATTCTCCGTGATGTGTGTCCATAGTACTCCACACAGGTCCCTGTTACAGTTCCAGCACAGCCACAGTGGGGGCTGGGGAGAAGAATCAATGATAGCCCCATTCCTCTCTCTCCACATTTGAAAGGAGCATACTTTTGTTCGATGGGAGTGAGGATGCAAATGGAAAAGTCAGAAGGTTACTCAGGTAAAAGAGATGAGCAGAGAGACAAAGAAAGAGACACAGTCATGAGGGAAAAGGGTACTGTTGAGAGAGGTGCCAGCACAGTGTCTGATGGAGGAGGCTGGAGAGCTATGGGAGCTGCCCAGGGGAGACTGAGGGAGAGAGATTTCAAGAGGACTTCTAGGGATTTCTTCTGTGTGATGTGCAATGGAATACCTTCCTCTGTCTTCTCATAGAGTCTTTAGTAAAATTTCACATCATTGCTCTTGGTGTTTGATGTGTGTTTTTTGGATGGTATGATATGTGAGACACTGAGGGCAATAATAGGACAGGTGAGAGATGTATCTATTTTGGGGTAAGGAGGCAATGAGCTGGATTCAGCAGATTTGGAATCAGAGCTGCTAGGAAAACTAGATATGTGTTCTAGACCAGAGGAGGGGAAAAAATGGGGTTTTTCAGCACATGATAACAAAGGCTCTTTAACACCTGGAGGGCAAGTGATGGCAGAGGGGTTGGCAGGAAGGCTGGATTCGTGCAAACTATCCACACTCGTGCTTGGGTCTCAGGGCAGCCAGTAGCACCAGGGGTCCATGTGGTCAAGTGTGCTTAGGGAGGCAAGCTGTAGCCATTGAGCAGACAAACCTGCCTTAGACAAACTCAGGAAGAGAGAGCTCATTAGGAGTCTGTTCCCAGCTCCCAGGGGCCAAGATAAGGAAGGCAATCAGCAAAGGTCATCCCCCTCCCCCACTCTCCCTTCCCAGTCTCCTCACCTGCTTGTGCAGCCACCCCCTCACCACCACTGGAACATTGGGGTTCCTCCGAATGGCCTGGTCCCTCTTCCCAAAGCTGTGGACTTTATTGCTGGACTTCATGATCTAGGAAAAAGCAACTCGAATTCTAGCAGCAGAGCGAATTTAGGGAGTCACAAAAGGTACCTGCATGATAAGAGAGCTGCGGGCTCTTCTGCCTTACTCTAAGCAGCAGTGCCCTTTGATTAAGAGAATAGCATAGAGACTGGAACAGGTGGGCACATGGCCATAGAATTTTAATTAAAAGATGAATCCAAGACCTAGTAAGCTTCCCATCTGGCTCACAGAGAAAAAAAATTTTAAGAGATTTTTCAATCAACTTTCACCAGCAGCTGTTGGTCCTTATATGTCCTAGTCCTTCTGAAGCAAAGGTACTTTGCAGTCACAGACTTTTGCCAATTTCCAGACATCTACTCCTCCTATCTTCGTTCAGTCCTTAGCACTCACCCCTCCTCTATAATGCTGGTTCTTTTCCCTGCTCCTCAATGCTCCCACATCTCACCTTTTCTCAGGCCTACCTGTCACAAATCTTACCAGGCAGTCTCTAACACACCTGTGAACAGAGGCATGGCCCTCCTGGGACAAGCCAGGAAAATGAAGAATGCATGCAAGGATGTAGGTATCAATCCTGGTTCTTCCAGCAATCACCTGTTTTCTTGCACAACTGACATAACCCCAACTGGTTTCAATTTCCTGATCTGTCATTTGGGGAGGATCCTTCTTACAAGCCTCCCTCACAAAATCATAGTGATAGTCAATGTGCACCCACAAAATTCTAAAGGGTGGAAGGAAGGAATAAGTGGCCAGGAGCTCACCTTGGGGCCAGGCTTGGCCTCCACGGTCGACGTGGTTCCAGCTGTGGACGTTTCACTGACCATGCTGGATGGTCTTTGGTTTCTCTCTTGCTTTGACATATGAGGATGTGGCCTGTGGGAAAACACAGGAAAGTCCAATGAGTAAGTACCAGGCTGGAGTGGAAGTGGAAGCTGAGATTTATCACAGACTAGAACTGGCTGATATGCCTCAGACAACCCACCTTTTTGGAGACCACGTGACTCTAGATTGCATCCAGAGGACCACAATGCCCAAATGCTTCAGTGAGTCTAGAGGATAATAGACGGTCACACCTCCATGGCCTGACAACCCACTAAGGGGCCAAGTTCGTCATTCCTGCCTGCTGTCCTAAGGTCTCTACATTTACATTTTTACTCAGGTATCTGTGGCAACTGCCCCATCAGATGAGGACACACAGTTGTACCACTTTTTATACAAACAACCCATACTCCTTACATACACACGCAACACACACCCCTCTATTTCCCTGGTTCCCAAAAGAAGCTGTTTATAATTAGTAATAAGAAATCACTTGCGCACACATCCACACCCCCAGATACATACAGAAAATCACTTACATAAATGCCAGTGGGGCTTGCCTCCCAAAATAGATCACTCAACAAAGAGTCCTATTCTGGGAACATTCCTTTGCCCCAAAATAGAACCATTACAGATATTAACTCGTTGTGCCATGCCTGGGAACAGGAAGCAATGAGACACGGCTGGGTCCACAATGAATATCCCCTCAGTGCATCCCCAACAGAAGCGAGTGACACCGTGCTTCCCATCAAGAAGCTCCACCTGCCCTGAGAGAGCCAGAACTCTGGAAACATCACTGTATGACACTGAAGAGACACTACAGAGAACCCTTCTCACCTGCCTCCACAGATCCCGAGCATTTGCCAAAGTTTTTCAAAGCAGGGGCAGCAGCAACCGCCTCCAACAAATTCAGTGCCTATCCTCAAACAGCTTGATGCCTGCTTCCCAAACTCTACTAACTCCAGGATTGGCAAGCCTTCCTCAGGACGTAAGTCTCATTGTTTTGTGGCTGGTTTCTCTACAGGCAACACGATCCAGGCAGCTGCAGTAAACTGAGGCTCTCTTGCCTGAGTAGCGGAGAAAATCTGGCTTGGAGGCCTGGGCCAAGAGCCTGAAGAGATGGAGGATCCAGATAAGACACAGCCAGGAAGAAGCACTCTGGATATCGGTTCGCCAGGCTCACTTTTACAGAGGTGCTAGGAGAAAAAATCCTAGTGTCCAACTTCAAGATGTGCTACTTCCTTCAAAACCACTACTGCTCAAAGGGTAAGTGTCCTTCCTTCCTGAGCCCCAAGACACAGCCCCATACCCTGCACCATTACTTCTTCCCAGAAGTAGCCGTAACCACCGCGCTGTGCAGCAGCAGGACCACAGCAGTGGCACTGGCTTTCCAAGGGGCTGAGCTCTGCCGGATGCAAGTCCCACCAGGCAGAAAGATCACTGGCTCCTTACGGGCTCCGGCACTCACTCCAGACTCCCCGCCCACGGCCTCCATCCCAGCCAGACTTTTGTTACTGCTCCCCACTCAGAGAATGTCACCGCACTCAGCTCGCTGCTGGCAGAGGCTGCAGGCAGCAAAAAGGATAATTGCCAACCGGGGGTGAGAAGGGCCCTGAGAGGCTGCCTTGTCCAGTCCCTGCCTCCAGGCAGAACCATGCCCAAAATGGCTGCCTGGAACCTAGTCTTGCCTGACTTACAAATTTCCAGAGGTTGAGACAAAGAGGAGTTCTCGGGTTGCATCAGTTATGTCAGCTGTACCTCTAAGCCGAAATTCAGGACACAAAGTCTGACAATAAAATAGGTTTGTTTGGGAGTTTATCAAGTTTCATTTGCTCCCATTTAAGAAACTGACGGAAGATTTTTATAGAATATTTGGGAATATAAGAAAAAAGCTAAAAGGAAAGAAAAAAGTCACCATAGTCCTGCTACCTAAAAGAAAACCATTTTAACACTTGGTAATATATATTTCCATTCTTTTTTATGTCTGGGTTTTAGGGGTGGGGGAGAGGAGTGCTTTTTTGTTTTTATATAATTGTGATCATACTGTGTTTATGATTTTGCATTTTGATTTTTTGAAACTTAATGTAAACATTTCCTCCATTATTTTAAACACATCCACATCATTTTATTTTTTCTTTATTTTAATTTCTTTTTAAATAAGCTCTATGCTCAACACGGGGCTTGAACTCACAACCGCAAGATCAAGAGTCATATGCTCCTCCACAAGACAAAGAAAAGACTATCTGGATGTATGACTGGCCCAGAAAACCCAGGATGGACAGCCACTTGCACCACTTCCGTACAGTCTTGAGCTCTGACTCTAAGCATCTCCTGCTTTCTACTCCCATGTCCCCGTCCCACTCGGGGATGCTGGGTGGCCAGGAAGTTCCTCCAGACAACAGTGCTGTCCTATAGCCTTTGGTGGATGAGGAAAGGGTTATAACCACCACCCAGGGAGCCAATTACAAAGAGATTTCAGCTGGACAAGGACCGGGTATGGTCCCAACACTGAACATTGGTGAGGGACAGTGGACCGCAGGGGTAGGGTGGGGGAGCGGAGTACAAGAGGAGGAGGAGGAGGAGGAAAAACACGAAGACAATTCCATTCTTTATTCTACAGAGACCTCTACTCAGTCACACTCAGAGAAAGCTGACTTATTAGGAGAAACAGCCTAAACTAAATCTGCCCCAGAGGAAACCATGCTGTCTCTATAAACAGTGTCTTCATCAGGGCTCTCCATGGGCGGGGGCAGCTCCCAGCTGGAGCAGGAGTCTCCATCTCCACCTGGCTGGCAGTCCTGACCTTACTCTCTGAAAGAACGAGGTGCACACAGCTACTTAGCCAAGTAGCAAGATCTGACTTCAGAGGATGTTCCCCTGAATCTCTTCAGTGTCAGTAATGATCCCCCAGGTCTCCCACAAGGGTGAATATGACTTTTGTGAAATCTCTAAATGTTATCTGGCACTACAACTAGCTTAAAAAAAAACAACAACAACAACAACAACAAAAAACAGGTGGTGGTCATGCTTGGGACACCATTTGGTACCCAACAACAAAGTTATAAAAAAGTCTCTGGGTGCCTGGGTGGCTCAGTCGGTTAAGTGTCTGACTCTTAGTTTTGGCTTAGGTAATGATCTCATAGTTCATGAGTTTGAGCCCCACATCAGGTTCTGCAAAGGCAGCATGGAGCCTGCTTGGGAGGCTTCTCTCTCTCCTTCCCTCTCTGCCCCTGCTCCCCAGCCCCTCTAAAACTAAATAAATAAATAAACTAAAAAAAAAAGTCTCAATAACAATTATCTAACTTGACTGAAAAGCTGGCTCTGATGGAAAGTTCTGGAAGTCATTTACCACATTGTTTTGAGACGCAGGAATATCAATAGTGTCATGTGTAAAGCCTCCTGAAGAGAGATACTGAATCATCTTATAGGCATGTTCCCCACTTAAAAGGCTGGTGGGGTAGACACTGACTTGTCCTCAGTTCCTCAGACTGAGGTATCTCCTGACAGGTTTCACTCAAGAACCATCCCCTCCCCCAGAGAAGAGCCTGTGCTCCTGAGCTGAGCAGCTGTGAAAGGTGGTTCAGTTAACCACCATTCAGTTAACAGCATGCCCTCAGGCACATGAGTCACACAGATCTCAATAGAGGAGACGGAAAAACCTGCATACGCTATGGGAAGACAGACTCTTGGTGTCATTAAATAAAATCTATTAACTTAAAAGCCTGTTTGCCAGGTTTCTGTACTATCTGGATTCCCAAAGTACAGTGGGACGATTTGAACAAAGACATCTCTTTCCTTGGCTTGGGCTACATGAATGCTGATTATTTTGCTGGAGGGGTGTGGGCTGAAGTTCAAAACAGTGAGCTAGAGTCTTAACTGCCTCCCAGCTGAAATGAACAGAAGAATTTAGGACTAGACAAAAGTCAGTCTGGAGAAGCCCAGTAGGAAAGGGACTTCATTCTACTCTAAACTTCCTCAAGGATGTGTCAGGTGAGCCTGGACAGGAAATCACCTTCTATGTCCCTCAATTTCCCCCTCAAAAAAGCAACTGCTTCTGCTACCTATATATCCAGGAGCAAATGCAGAGAACACTGACAGATGTAGTAAGAGGGAGGCTATCAATTCAGAAGTCTTTTTTTTTTTTTTTTTTTCCTGTTGGGTCCAAAATTAGGTGAGTTTGGTTAATGGGATCATTGGCTGTCTCTCAATTAACATTATGAATGAATAGGAGCAAGCTGAAGTGGGATCACAGCAAGACCCTTTTCTACCCTATTGCTGTCATGATAGGTAAGTCACCAAGCCAAGAATCACCAACCCGTTGGGTCAATACACAAAGTCAAGCAAGCAGAGAGACTGGGCTGTACTTGTCCACCACCTACTGTGTGCCAGGCATTTAGACTACATTATTGCACTTAACCCTGAAAAGCCAGCTTTACCATCTCCATTTTTGCAGATGAGGTAAAGTGAGGCTAAAACATTAATAACTTGCCCAAGATAGAAGATGGGCTCCAAAATCTGGTATTCCCAAGAGACACCATCCCATGGCAAGTCCCAAGTCTGATGGAAGCAGGCTCTTCTCAACTCCAAGGACCAATCCCCAAATTAAGAGGATCCTGGGGTGGTGGGAAAACCCAGGAACCCAGAGTAATTGGGTCTAAACAAAGCTCTGCAGCTTAGTCACCCCTCCACAAGTCACATCATTTCTCTGGGCCTCAGTTGCCATTTTTACAAAATGGGATGGAAACTACTCTCATCTCACAAGGTGGTTGTGAGTTGAAAGAATGTCTTGAAAACTATGAAGCACAGCACTAAATGAAAAGTACTGTCATGGCTATTAGCAGTGGAGACCTCAGAATTTAAATCTCAGGTGCATTCTATTTTTATTTCCAAGGCACTTCTCTCCAGAAAATTCAAGGTGCCAAACAATTAACTTCTAAACAATCACTGCTTATAAACACCTCTATGAACACCTTATCCCGGTGTGGCTCCTTTAAAGTACAATAAACTTGTGAGGGACTGGGCTCCTATTCTTCCCCCAGGAGGTTAGAAAGTTA